CATGCATTGTCTTCAAATGTACAGGAATGTCATGCAGTGTATCTTCAAATGTACAGGAATGTCATTCAGTATATCTTCAAATGTACAGGAATGTCATGCATTGTGTCTTCAAATGTACAGGAATGTCATGCATTGATTTTCAAATATACAAGAATGTCATGTAGTGTATCCTCAAATGTACAGGAATGTCATTCAGTATATCTTCAAATGTACAGAAATGTCATGCATTGTGGCTTCAAATATACAGGAATGTCATGCATTGTGTTTTCAAATGTACAGGAATGTCATGCACTGTGTTTTCAAATGTACAGGAATGTCATGCATTGTGTTTTCAAATGTACGGGGATGTCATGCATCGTGTCTTCAAATGTACATGAATGTTATGCATTGTGTCTTCAAATGTACAGGAATGTCATCCATTGTGTTGTCAAATGTACAGGAATGTCATCCATTGTGTTGTCAAATGTACAACAATGTCATGCATTGTCTTCAAATGTACAGGAATGTCATGCATTGATTTTCAAATATACAGGAATGTCATGCATTGTGTTTTCAAATGTACAAGAATGTCATGCATTGTCTTCAGATGTACAGGAATGTTGTGCAATGTATCTTCAAATGTGCACAAATGTCATGCAGTGTGTCTTGAAATGTACAGGAATGTCATGCATTGTGTTTTCAAATGTACAGGAATGTCATGCATTGTATTTTCAAATGTACAGGAATGTCATCCATTGTGTTGTCAAATGTACAAGAATGTCATGCATTGTCTTCAAATGTACAGGAATGTCATGCATTGATTTTCAAATATACAGGAATGTCATGCATTGTGTTTTCAAATGTACAAGAATGTCATGCATTGTTTTCAAATGTACAGGAATGTTGTGCAATGTATCTTCAAATGTACAGGAATGTCTTGCATTGTGTTTTCAAATGTACAGGAATGTCATGCATTGTATCTTCAAATGTACAGGAATGTCATGCATTGTGTCTTCAAATGTTCATGAATGTCATGCAGTGTGTCTTCAAATGTACAGGAATGTCTTGCATTGTATCTTCAAATGTACAGGAATGTCATGCAGTGTGTCTTCAAATGTACATGAATGTCATGCAGTGTGTCTTCAAATGTACAGGAATGTCTTGCATTGTGTCTTCAACGTACAGGAATGTCTTGCATTGTGTCTTCAAATGTACAAGAATGTCTTGCATTGTGTCTTCAAATGTACAGGAATGTCTTGCATTGTGTCTTCAAATGTACAGGAATGTCATGCAGTGTGTCTTGAAATGTACAGAAATGTCATGCATTGTTTTCAAATGTACAGGAATGTTGTGCAATGTATCTTCAAATGTACAGGAATGTCATGCATTGTGTCTTCAAATGTACAGGAATGTCTTGCATTGTGT